GGGATGCCCTGCATCCCCATTTCAGGCTAAATTCTTTCCTTAACACCCCGGTCGTGAGCTCAACGCCCAGAGCGCCTGAGGACAGGTGAAGGCGGTCAGCTGCTGTCTGTTGAGAAACCCTTACTTTAAGTGTCTACCAACATTGCAGCTCGCTTCTCTCCTTGATTAAGGCCAGACAGCCTTATACAGACCATGCTACAGATGCTACACCGGTCGANCGGATAGAAAACTACATTCAGTCTCTCGGTAGTAGTATAGTAGCACGAAATAATTAAATAAACGAATTTTCTAAATTATAGGCGGTGGAATGCTTCAGCACCCTAACTGAGTACTCCTCCGGACTGCAAGGTTACTGGGCCTCCGGGACATTTCGACGCAAAACTAGGTCTACTTGACGTCGAAACTTTGACGAAGGAGTAAGCAGTACAACATTTTTGCATTTATTTCTATGTAGTACTTTGCGATTTGGAAAATTCGCAGACGGCGAGAAATGGTGTACGACGAGTGGGTGTCAGGATGCACTTGCCTACTGGCCACCGCCCTTCACGCCTTCTTTTACTTCGCCGAGCACGCAACCTAGAATATAACTACCTAAATACGATATTAACATTATATTTGACCGTTTTCACTCCTGTTTTTGGACACTTACTTTGATTGACCGCAAGTTACACTGCATACGGGCAAACATGGCTCCTGTCTCCACGGCTTCTCGCGCCCGCCTATGAATCACCTTGTCTAAAGCGAACTGCGAATCTTCCAGTTTCGGGGAAATTTTCTTGCATCCCCGCGCTATGTTAAACTGTACCAATATTGGGGTATGGCGTACTAGTTCCTATTCTTGCGGAGAACAGCATACCGCACCTGAACCGTTGCCCGCCTCAGTTTTCTCTTGCCCAATATCCATAGCTGCAGCGTTTAAAACCTGTACAAGCAGCTGATGGGGTCTTATCCTCACACCAATTCTTTCGGTGGGGTGGGTACCTTTAAATTCATCGTTTTTGCCCTACTGAACCTTAGCTTCTTTTTCGCCTGCCTCCAGCCTGTCGTAGGAGAGGTCGTGGCCTCCTTAGAAGTCCCTCCTACAGCAGACGGGAAACCTTCTGCAGGTTTTCTGGTGGATACAACTGCGGCCAGAGATGATGGACTCTCTTCCACAGCCGCGAACGCGGCATCTTTGCCCCGTGCAGCCCCCGAATCGGCAGCTGCGGTGGCAAAAGCAGTGTTAAGAGAAAGCCGCGGGCACAGACGTATGTTTGCACCGGATCCGATTGTAGAGGAGGCCGTCACGGCGGTGGAGTACCGNTGGTGCCCACACTGTTTTACGTACAGGAAGACGTTTTCGCAACTAGCAATGGACCTCCGTAGTCGCTTTCATTTCGCAGCACTGAACTGCGTGGAGGACGAAAATACAATGGATATTTGTGGCAACTTAGGTATATTCGCGTTGCCGTCCATCAAACTATTTGTGCCTCCCTCTCTCCACCTGCAACTGCCGGCCTCCGAGCAGCAGCCTAAGCAAGCCACACCACTTAAGGGAAACCTGCATTTGGAGTTCCCTGGGATGCATGACGGAGGAGCGCTGGACTCGTTTGACGCAGCTCAGCCAGACAGTCTTGCTATTCATTCCCTTGCACTCCCCAGCGATGACATCTATCTCGCCGTGCAATATGCGGCCCGAAAAACGCAGCAACAAATCAGCAAGAACGAACTGTAAGTTGTATGGCGAGGTATTGCTCCCATGTTCTTGCTATTCGTACGAATCTGGCACCCAATTTGTTCATTCACCCTCCACCGATTCTTCTGTTGCTTGTGGTGGTTTGTGCTGCAGCAAGCTGACGTTGGGAGGAGACTTAGCCGCCTTCGAGCATCTCCGCGGCGTTCCTTGCAGTGCGTACAGATGGAAATCCGAGCTTACGCTTTCACCCACGGCGACTGATTCCTCTGTTCGTGAGCAAGAGGAGAAAGAAGACCAAGGGGCTGGAAGAAGCAGTTTCCGAATGGGCGGTCGTGAGGCGACTTCAGGGGGTCCCGCTCGAGCGCGTCTATACGACGGTATTAGGGGCCTGCAATTCATTTTGGCGAGTTGGGTTGTTACGGAGAAGGAACACATGAGCTTTGCTGAGGAATTTGCCTTGGTGGATTTGCTCGAAATAGTGCGGGCGGTGGTACCAATCGTGTCGGTGAAGAGGGCAGCTGCTCTCGCGATAATCCATCTGCAGAACTCGATGCAAGCTCTGCCGGAGCGCCTTCCTTTGAGGCAGCCTGAATCTCTCAAAGANTCCATCTGCAGAACTCGATGCAAGCTCTGCCGGAGCGCCTTCCTTTGAGGCAGCCTGAATCTCTCAAAGACGACAGTGCACGCTTCTCGGACCACCTTGATCTGTACAGGGAAATCGACAGCAAACTCTATGCCACCAGTGGTCTAAGAACAGCGGACTGGCGTAAATGGATAGGGTCTGTGGCATTCGGTGCCGAGGCGCTCCCGCTGCCGCCCCTGGAGGAGCCCAAGCTAAAGCACTGCACGACCATCACATGCAGCGTGTGGATGTTGATGCATGTGCTAGCAGAGGGGGCTAAGAGGCTTTCCGTTAAGGTCAACGCACATCCCAAGTGCGGCCGCGGTGAGCTCTTCTTCAAGAGGAAAGGACAGGCGCTGCCGATTTACCTTCTGCAGCAGCAACAGGAGCAGCGAAGACCTGTCGACCTTGATAAAGTCATTGACACGGCATCGTTGCCAACTGTGAGTCCTTCCCCTATGCTCATTTTATCTGCATTTGGAAATGAAGCTTATTCACCCTATAAAGCATACAGGACGCGCTTACCATAAGACC